CCTCAGAGAGAAAGGGATACCTCAGCACAAGCCTTATGGGAGATATAACCCAGCAGTTTTGAATGGGAGTGGGGATCACCCAAGCTGGGATGAACAGAGGGTGGGGGAACCCAACCTCTAACTAACAATTTCTCCAGCATAAAAATGAAGCATCAAATTCGTTAGCCCAGGGCCTTCATTTTTCCCCTTCCACATTATAACTAGTTATTGAACTCGCTGGAAGATCTAAAGGCCATTTGCGAAGAGACAAATTTCAATGGAGTTTCCCCATCAATAACCCCATGGCAGTGACCTATTGGAACGAGTCAAACACCCGAGGTGAAATGCAGGTCACTCTGTCTAACCAATATTAAAATGCGGCCACTTTTTAAAAAGCCACTTTAAACGAGATTTGAGGAAAATTGAATTCCAAAGAAGGCAAGGCGGGGGGGGGGGGGGGGGGGGGGGAGAGATCCACAAGAGGACCATGCCTATGCTCTCCAAACAAACAAGAAAAATCCATCTTTAATATTTTAAAGGGGGGCAAATTAACATTCCATGATTGCTTTTTCTTTTCTTTCTCTCTCTCTTTTTTTATACTCTAAGCGATTCCAGGAAGGGAAAAAAGGTTGAGTATTTTCTAGTGACATGTCCAGGTTATTAAAATCATTTTAGACCAATTCATTACTTTTACTGACAAGAGATTTAAGGAAAAAATCAATTAAACATTTGCATATTCTTTTGCATACATTAGTCCTGCCTGCTGGCATTGGGAAAGGACAAAAACACACAGATACCCATGTACACACAGAGATACACAAAGGGAAAAATAGTATAAGAATCTTGTTTTAGTTTGGGGTTTTCAAGTTGTCCGGGGGAGAAAAAAAAATCAAAATGAAATGAATTGCTTGATTGCATAGCTTCTAAAAGTCTATTTATTTGAGGAAAAGGAAAGAAGCATGCTGTAATTTTTAATCCCTAAAACAATAACAAAGCACATACATTAAAAAAAAAAACCTGTATTTCAGAAAGTGGGAAAGAGTGACACTTACTATCCTTTTTACAGTTAAATCCTGAATTGTTTCTCCCATTTGTTTAACTTAACTTATTTATTTATTTTGCCCTTCAGAAAATCCAGGGAGTATGAGGTGGGAGTTTTACTGCAGCACAGAATCTGTGGAGCCGCTAGGGTATCTCAGCCAGCGTCTTGTTGCTGGGGAGGGGAGGAATATGGGTTAGCCAACGGTCAGTATGGTAATCCAGGCACAATAAGGCCTCTCACAACAATGGACACATATTTTTCTTCAGTGGTGTCAGAAGGGAAGCGCTTTGTACTGAAACCTGTTTCCGAGAGAGAAACCAGATCAGATCGAGATTTAGAAAGGAGATGGGGTGTGGGGCAGCATGCAGAGAGCATTGGATGCTGGCAAAAGGTGGTCGGAAAACATAAAGAATAAACACTGGGACCAAGCGAAGTAGAGGGCAGAGCCTTTCGGGAGTGGGAGGCAGGAGAGGAAAGTACAAAGGAAGAGAAGAGCAAATACAAAGATTCATCACTGGGGAGGGCCTCCTTAGTACCCCCCAGGAGTTAAGGCCCTGCTGAGTGCAAGAGCCCTGTACAGGAAAAGATTTCCTGGTTTGTAACAATGTTCAGGTAAACATGTTGTATGGGTATGTGTACTGAAGTATTTAACCCATGTGATAGTCAGCTTCCTTTTCCTAAGCTACAGGAACACCCAGAGTTTTTGTTTGTTATTTGGTTTTATTTATTATTTTTATAAGTGATGTAGATGAGACTGGACACATTTGGGGGGATTTCATAGGCTTTTACTTTCTGGTTATTCATGCTGAATTAGCTGAACAAACCTGAAATGAGAACTCCATTTATTAATAATGGCTGCATAAAAGGCATTTAGCATTTTAACAAATATTAATAGCATATATAGATATGTATTTGTGAACCATAATAACCAAAGATAAACTTGGCATCCAGTTTTGAGGCATCTGAACCCACGTCTATTCATTTATACTGACCCAAAGAGAGTCTCTTGGATTCACCTGCAGGAGCTAAGAAGTCTAGGAAATGTAAGGGCATGTATGATGGTGGGTAATGTCCTGGGAAGGATATTTTAGCAAGTTCATTCTAGAGGGTTAGAAGTGAGGAAAAAGAAGGCTGAGGTGGGAGACAGGGTTGGTAGAAGGTGAAGGAGTGGGGCTGGGAGAAGGGACTGCAAGCAGACAGCTCACCTTTGCAGGAGAGGAAGAGAATAGTCTCAGTTGGGGCCAAGTGAGTCAGCGAGGCAGGTGCAGACCCTAGACAGGATGTTAGGCTGAAGGGCTGAAGAAGCTCTCTACTTTCCCTTACCCTTCCCACCATACCACTGCTCTCAGGGGCTTTGGATTCCAAGATGGGGCAATTTGGAGTTGTTGCTCAGATCCTTCCCTTTACCCACTTCCAGCAACTTGTAGTTCCGAGAGAGAGAGAGAGAGAGAGAGAGAGAGAGAGAGAGAGAGAGAGAGAGAGAGAGAGAGAGAGAGAGAGAGAATAAAAGAAATTTTAAAATCTTCACACAACTCCCGGCCACCACGTAGCTGCTTTCCCCTCACTCACAGCCTTGAGCTCCTCTTCCAAGCACACAGCCAGTCCTCATATTCAGAGTCAGATCCAAGTGAGCAAGGATTCTCCAAAAGCTTTGGGAGTTTGAGAGTCTCCTGTAAGAGGTGGTTGACCTCTAGGGAATTCGGTTCCCTCATCCAGCTGATGGTGTGTGTGGGGGGGGGGGGACGGCTTTCTCTTGGGGAGAAGGTCTCTGGGACTTTGAAGCACCAAGTCATGGGGGCCAAGCCCTGGTGAGCTTGAGCTGGGGCTGAGGCCCTAAGCATTGGAACCTGGATGGCAGCCAGGGGCTCAGGCCCAATCTGTCTCTTTGGGCTTTGCTTGTGGCTCCCTCCTATTCCAGCCCTCAAAGCGAACCCTAATTTGGAAATGGGGACCCTCTCCCACATCCCAAAGGTAGTGAAAAAGAGTGTTAGGAATCTTCTCTTTTCCTTATCTCTCTCACGGGGCTTTATTTTTTTTCTCTTCCCCCTCCTCATTCCCTTAATTGCAGATGTTCTAATTAAACCCTCAAATAGTTGTTATGCTGTTTTAAAAGGTACTTATTCAAGTGTCAACCAGGCTGGGCTGGGAGGAGGCAGCATAGGGCGGCGAATTAAAGGTAGATTGACTAATCACGGCGGCGATCATAATAATAAAATCAGAGGGAAAAAAATCACATTACGACTTTTCGTGGAAAGGAGGGAGCAGGCAGCCAGCGGCCGCCAGCCCTGTGCCGCCGACACAAAGAGTGCGGGCGATTCCCCGAGACTGATTTATGACGTTTTACAGCCCTATAAAAGCTGTAGCGACGAGGCAAGCGCTCCTACCACCGCTGGCAGATTTAGTCTAATAAATAAAACATAAACAGTTAACTTTATGTGTCACTTTTATTGTTATCAAGTAAAATATAGCCGAGCCCCGGCAAGCTATGATTTTAAACTATAATTGTTATCAAGCACAACACGGGGACCTGGCTCCCTCCCTGGGCTTTCCCCTCTGCTGCCCCCCACCAACTCTGAGTTATAGAAGATCAGTTAATTGGAGTCCGATGACGAGGCCACCCCTAGCTAAGGAACCAGAGGCTGGAAAAAATAGCTCTTCCTTGCCCCCCTCTCCCCTCTGACTCTGCCACTTCTCCTGGGGGTATTCTGTGAGTGGGTGACAGAGGGAGGAGACAGGATGAGAAGAGACTGGAGACCCCTGCCCTGCCTCCAAAGCTCGGGGACTTCACCTCTTCTTTTTGGAAGGCAGCCTGGAGCTGGCCCTGGGGAATATGTGTTTACATGTAAACACACGTGTTACACGGATACAGTCCCTGACTGGAAGCAAGCAGACTCTACCCACACAGGCCTGGAGAGTAAGGCTTGGAGGAAAAACTCCCAGGGCTTTAGTTGGGCCTCACTTCAGAGCACTGACTCCTGGCAGAGATCTCTCTCTCTCTCTCTCTCTCTCTCTCTCTCTCTCTCTTTTTATTTTACCAGAGCTGTTCGGAGCCAGTCTGGGAGGTGCTGTGAGAAGTCACCAGGCCGGGGAGCAGGAGTCACACATGGGTCATCAGTAGGAGATATCCTCTGCTCTGGGGCCTGGGCTGGGAAGGACAGTGGGTAGCAGGGAGATCAAGGTTTCTGAAATCTGCCTTTGCCAACCACTTCCTGTCTCTCTTCAGCGGGGGCTCAAGCCCTAGACCTCCAGAAATGACGTCAGGATCATTTGCATCCCGCTGCCTCAACCTGCCTAGTACTGCTGGGACCCTGTCTGGACGGTCCCTTGGCCAAGAGGGTTGGGTGAGTGTGTATGGGGGAGGGGAGCTAGACTTTAGGATCCTTGGATGGGTTGAGGTACCTCAGGCTCCCTAGCATTCTAAGCTCAGCCTGGGCCCCTCCCCATCCAACCTCCTCTGAAGCCCTCATTGAACTTCCTCTTCCTGCGAAAGAGGGGCGCTGCCCTGTGACCTACACAAGACTGCAACACGATTACTGTAATGGAGACCACTGGAAAGGCACTGGAGCCTGGGCCCACCGGGCGCACTGGAGGCCGGAGAGGAGACCCTGGGCCGGGGCTGAATCACAGCCTCCCGACAGCCCTCAATGCCCAGGCATTGGAGCCGAACTGGGAGCCTCCCATCTCCTTTTGCAGGGGAGGATTGTCAGTCTGGCGGGGTGTGCAATGGTGAGCACCCCAGCTTCTGCCAGCCATCCCCCCCACCCCACCCCCCAGCAGCAGCAGCACCACACACACAAAAAATTGGATACATTTTGAATAAAGCGATTCGGTTCCTTATCCGGGGACTGGGTTGCTCGGTGTGATTGGCCGGCGGAGTCACATGGTGAAAGTAACTTTACAGGGTCGCTAGCTAGTAGGAGGGCTTTATGGAGCAGAAAAACGACAAAGCGAGAAAAATTATTTTCCACTCCAGAAATTAATGATCATGAGCTCGTATTTGATGGACTCTAACTACATCGATCCGAAATTTCCTCCATGCGAAGAATATTCGCAAAATAGCTACATCCCTGAACACAGTCCGGAATATTACGGCCGGACCAGGGAATCGGGATTCCAGCATCACCACCAGGAGCTGTACCCACCACCGCCTCCGCGCCCTAGCTACCCTGAGCGTCAGTATAGCTGCACCAGTCTCCAGGGGCCCGGCAATTCGCGAGCCCACGGGCCGGCCCAGGCGGGCCACCACCACCCTGAGAAATCGCAGCCGCTCTGCGAGCCGGCGCCTCTCTCAGGCGCCTCTGCCTCCCCATCCCCAGCCCCGCCAGCCTGCAGCCAGCCAGCCCCCGACCATCCCTCCAGCACCGCCAGCAAGCAGCCCATAGTCTACCCTTGGATGAAAAAAATTCACGTTAGCACGGGTAGGCAACTTTGCTTTTTGCCCCCCTCCCCTCTTCCCGGCGCTCCCCACCCTCCCTGGCCCCCTCCGGCCCCGTCCTCCTTTCTCTCCTTCCCCCCTCTCTCTCCAGGAGCGACTCTGGGTTAGCACAATTGAACTGGATTTACGAGCGAGAATGGGTAATTACATCCCCCATAAATTTTATGGCTTAGCTACTCTGGGCAGTCCGAGCCATGTGCTACGATCTGTTATGTATGTGTGAAAACTATGCTCGCTTTCTAAGGGCGCATAAATAATTCAGTGTCGTTACAATGAGGATTCCCCTCTTATTACACTACAAAGTCTCCAGCTTCCTTCAACTTCTTTATAACCCATTTAGCTTGATGACTTTATTTCCACCACTCCCTCCTGCTCCTCAAAGCTGAGGATGGGGTGTGGGTGGGGGCGGGGAGCCTACTGCCTCTGAACCCCACTATTTGCTTCCCCTCCCATCCCCCCCAGTGAACCCCAATTATAACGGAGGGGAGCCCAAGCGCTCGAGGACAGCCTACACCCGGCAGCAGGTCCTGGAATTAGAGAAAGAGTTTCATTACAACCGCTACCTGACCCGAAGGAGAAGGATCGAGATCGCCCATTCGCTGTGCCTCTCTGAGAGGCAGATCAAAATCTGGTTCCAAAACCGTCGCATGAAATGGAAGAAGGACCACCGACTCCCCAACACCAAAGTGAGGTCAGCGCCCCCGGCCGGCGCTGCGCCCAGCACCCTCTCGGCAGCCACCCCCGGTACTTCTGAAGACCACTCCCAGAGCGCCACGCCGCCGGAGCAGCAACGGGCAGAGGACATTACCAGGTTATAAAACATAACTTACACCCCTGCCCCCACCCTGTGCTCCGTGACCCCCTCACACACAAATTGACTCTTATTTATAGAATTTAATATATATATATATTTTGGTTCTTTTTCCTCTTCCTCCTGCCTCCTCCCTTGTCAGTTCCAAACAGACAAAACAGATAAACAAGCCCCTTGCCCTTCTCCCTTCACTGTTGAGGACCCCTTTAAGCATGTGGTGTTATCTTAGCATGGTACCTGCTGGGTTTTGTTTTTGTTTTTTGTTTTTTAAGGCCATTGGGGGGGTATTTATTTTTTAAGAAAAAGCTGCAAAAATTATATATTGCAAGGTGCGATGGTCTGGTTTGGGTGAATTTCAGGAAAAATGAGGAAAAGAAAAAGCAAAGGGAGATTTTTAAGTGGATTCTCATCCTCTCTCCTCCTCCTTCCCCCCACTTTCCTTAGGCCTTTTGCATTGAAAATGCACCAGGGGAGGTTAGTGAGGGGAAGTCATTTTAAGGAGAACAAAGCTATGAAGTTCTTTTGTATTCTTGTGGGGGGGGGGTGGGAGGAGGGGGTAGGACAGCAGACAAAGCTAAATGCATCTGGAGAGCCTCTGGGAGCTGTTCAGTTTGAGGAGCCAAAAGAAAATAAAAATGAACTTTCAGTTCAGAGAGGCAGCAGTCTGTAGGTAGATGCTCCCCTACCCCCATCGTGGTTATTGTGTTTTTGGACTGAATTTACTTGATTATTGTAAAACTTGCAATAAAGAATTTTAGTGTTGATGTGAAATGCCCCGTGATCAATAATAAACCAGTGGCTGTGAATTAGTTTTACGTCAATGTCTGATGGTTTCTTTTTAATCCCCCTCCTTCTGGCCTGGTGACATCTCACCTTCTCTATAGTCACCTAAGTTCACTCTGAACATACACACAAGCCTTAACATTTGACCTCAGGTGTTCAGGGCTTATGGAAAAAACAGTGAGGAGTCTGGGGTAAGGGATGTGCAGACTATGGAGGGTTCCTCTGCCCCTTCTCTCCAACTTCTCAGAGAGACCAGGCCTGGGGTCCTTACAGTGAAGCTGAGTGTGGGGTGCTGAGCGTGGGGTGGGAGTCCTCGCTTTTCCATTGGCTCAGTCCCCTCTCTTTGACCATTCCTTTTTCATACCCCACCCTCTCTGTCCTTTAAGCTGGCCAAATCTGCAGACCAGAAGGCAAGTTTAGAGAAAGGGAGGAAAAAGTTTTGCTCTTTCAAGACTTCTTGGGGTAAGACTTTGAGGATGATGTCCCTTCCTCGGTCACATTCTCCTAAAGGGATGAAGGGTTTAGAGCTGGTGATTCTGAAGCTGCAAAGTGACCTGTCAGGATAGAATATCTGTTTGTTTAGCCTTAGGGGAAAGGGTGAAGTAGAGGCCAGAGAGGCCTGTAAGGCCCCTTGCATGTGTAGGCCTCAAAGGCTGATGCCTGGAGGTAGCTAGCGAAGGAAGGAAGGAAGGACTTTTACCTTTTTCTGGAACTTTTGATCATGATCTGCCAGGTGTTAAGGAAAAATCTTAGAGATTCAGGGACTACCCTCCTCCTGCAATCTTCCATGTCCTGGCAGAGTATAGGTATCTGAGCAAGGCTCTGTGGTAGTAAGACAGATAATAGTTTTCTTGGGTATGAGGAGAAAAACTATCTTGGATTATCCAAAGAACTAATTCAACCCAAAGGACCCCAGGTGGATCTCTCTGGTCCTGGAGATCAGGCCTTAAGTTTAGCCCGCTCATCTTCCTCCCTTTCTCTCTCTCTTTCTTTCTTTCTTTCTTTCTTTCTTTCTTTCTTTCTTTCTTTCTTTCTTTCTTTCTTCCTTTCTTCCTTTCTTGTTTTTTGTGGGAGGGGGAGGGGAGGGGAGCAGTTGGGAGCTTTCCCTTAGGTGATTTATCTAAACTTTGGGATGGAGGGCACTCAGGATTGGGAGCAGGAGAGGCTAACTGGACCACCTTCCCCTACTGCGAAGTCACCAAGTTGTGAAAAATCTATTTGATGTGTTTTAAATTTCTTTTCTCTTGAACCACTTGCTGACTGATCATGGGAGCAAAGTCTGTGTTGTGCTCTGGAGTTTGGCTATGTGTTGGGGGTGGGGAGGGTCTCTTAGTCCTTGAGGTCTACTTTCTCTCCCTCAATAGTACTCTGGAGACAGAAAAACATGCTGTCTACAATGTGAGGAAGCAGAGCTAACAATTATCTGGAGTTATTTTATGTAATCAAGCAAATTAGGGGCCTGATCTGACTGTAGCCCCAATCATCCAGAAGCTATTGCCTTGCTAGGGCTGGGAGGGGGTGTTAACTGTGGAAGAGAGAAGGAAGGTCTGAGGGATAGGCCAGGGCATCTTTCTGAGCCTGGGAAGAAGACGAGGTGGGAAGAAGTGGGGTTATCTTCTTTTTTGCCTGGCTTTGAGCTTTGGAGAGTTATGGGGAGAGGGCTGCCACTACGTGTTACTTCTGAAGTTTGACCTGGCACTTTGTGAAGGGACACTCTGAACTCAGGGAAAGCAGCTTACAAAGGGCTGGAACATCTATTTCCTTTTCTTTGAAGGTTTCTATTTTCTTTCTTCTTGTGGCACACAAAGTGATTAACTCTGTCCTTCTTGATCTGGAAAGGGAGAAACATCCCAAATCCACACATTCTTGACAAATGTAGCAAAATTAAAATCTTTTACACTTGGATTTTTGAAGAGTTGGGCCTCTGACCTCCGGGAATCTCCCTCTTCTTTCTCCAAAGCTTTCCTTTGACTGGGCCCTGACCACCCAGAAAGCCTGCAGCCTTGTTGGGCAAGGGTGGAGCATGGACTAACCTGGGCTTGGGCTCCAAGCTCTAGCAGTCCTGGTCTCAATGCTCCTGATGCTTCCTGGCCTCACTGGGAAGTGGAGGGCAAGGCTTTTATTGTAGTTGAGTAGAGCAGTGGGGAAAGGCTGGGGGGAGGACACAGCCCAGGTTCACAGGAAGGACACAGCATTTTCTCTCCCATTGCCTTTATATTCAGCAGAGCCTCTGACCTCTCCCCCACCCCCATCTCCAACCCTAAGCCCAGTCCTTGCTTAGCCCCTAGCCTCCACATAGGATGCCACAGCTTTTGTAGGACTGGGGATTTCTTGCCCAGACTCATGGGAGAGGAAGGTGCATGAATGCCTGCTAGTCCAGTATTGTATCATCTTCAATGGCCAAGTAAAATGAAGACCTGTGAACTGGGGGACAACAATCTTCCAGGGTCCTTCTTTCCAAGCATCTGGAGATACCCACAAGTCCCAAATCCCTTGGCTGTGTAAGTAGCTAGCACTCAATCTTCCCTCGGGTAAAGAGCACAAGTCTGAACTCTGTCTTCCACTAAATTTTTGTTTCAACTCCAGTTGTTTGAGAGGGAAGGTGGGAAATCAAATGTGGATAGAGAGAGTCTGCTTGGGGAAAATGGGAGTTCACACATGGAAGGCGGGTTGTGAGAAAACAGCTCAAAAATGGAGAGATAACCTGGAGAAAGTAAGGCGGGGGGGGGGGGGGGGGGGGGGGGCCACTTTGCTTCTCTGAGGACTCATTGCAGTTTGTATGAAGTTTCCTACAGTTCTGAATGTCTCAGTTTTCTTCTGTGGAATTTCATATTGAAACCCCAAGTGTGTGTGGCGTGTGTGTGTGTGTGTGTGTGTGTGTGTGTGTGTACACATGCGTGGGTGCGGGCGCGTGTGTAAGAGGTTTGCCAAAGTGTGGGCTAGGATGCCCTCTATTAGGGAGGGTTTCTCTGTTTTCCTAAAATTCAGGACTAACCCAGAAAGGGCCCTGGAGAGGGCACCATGACAAGGAGCAGCACACTGGGCACTTCAATCCTTTTCTCGGCTTTTTGCCAGGCCCTGGGGTAGCATGGTGCTGTATTCACAAAGCTGCTTCTCCAGGCTTTCCTCAGCTTTTATCTGGCACCCCACCTTTGGACAGCTAATTCAAATTAAAATGCCTCCTTTCCTAGAGGCCTCTCCTAGGCTTGGTAAAAAGAGATGGAAGATCCCCTAACTCCAGCGGCCACCAAAGCAGATGGAATATTTATTGCCTCTCTGGATGTCATTACCTAAGAATACAATTTTATGAACCTCCTAATCTGTTAGCTTGATTTATCTGGATGGGCAGAAGCCCAAAATAAACATTTGGAGAATTTAGGTGGGAAAAAAATGTCTTTGCCTCTGACCGAGCTTCCTCATAGAACTGACTGCCCTTCTTAGAGTGCTTTTTCTGCACCCGGAACCTCTCACCCCATTTTAATCTCTCTTTTTTTTTTAATGTGGTGTGTGACAGTTTTGGGGTATGCCTCTTGAGAATTAAAAAGATGGGATTCACTATTTGAACTAGAGACTTTTGAAGCCTTGCACACCTTTCAACCTGCCTGTCAGGGAGTGCCATTCCCTTTGAGGCTCAGAAACCAGGCAAAAACTAAGGCCAAAGGGAAGGTTTGTTATAGGCTTCGGGAGGCTGGGAGTCAGACGGCTCTCCCTCCATTCTCAGGTAGGGTGGGCGCCCCCCTACCCTGTCCTGCTCTCTTTGGTGTCAGTCAGCCCTGCATCTTCTCACTGCGACACAAGGAAACACACATCCATGCAAGCTGCGAGAAAGGCCGAAGCGGCTCCCCTTCCCGCCAGGCCCTGAGAAAGATTCCGAAGGAAAGCAGGGAAAGGATCAAGGAGGGAGAGAGCGTTACAGAGTCCAGGAAAAGGGAGGATTCATTTTAAATGTGCAGTTCCCCTCATCGATTGCCAGACCCTCTAATTTGTAGCGTCCTCAGGGATCTGCTCCTCCTGCCCCAGGGGTAAGGGTGAAGGCTGTGTCGGCTCCACTTCCTTCCCCTCATTTCCCCGTCCCAGTTTAGAGACTGGGAGAGGAAAGTATATTTGAATTTGGTGGTGGTGGGGTGCAGACACCCTGAAACAGAGTGCACGTCAAACCACCAACTAGACCCTAGCTTCTCGCTCCCAGCCTCTGGCTGCCTGGGAAGCCCTGCGCAAAAGAAT